ATATCACCACAGTGCACAGTGCACAGTGAGATAACATAGCATAATTTAACAGGGCGATTTGTATGCGGTTAACAGAGGGTAAGAGAGTCTAAGAGAGCGAGAAAATTGAGCATAACATTTTTGTGGAGGACGTTTATAAACGATAACATTTTTGTGGAGGACGTTTATAAACGTCCTCCACAAAAATGTTAATGTTAACGACGGCGAATTCGAGGTGAGTTTCTCCAGTTCTCTCGGCTTTTCTCTCTCTCTGCTGGCATTTATGGAATGTGAGCGCTCAAAAATGCGTTAAAGGTGTTTATAAAATTAAAATTGTGCAAAACAAGTCGCGTAAACGTAAGAAGAGAGAGAATTTACTCTCTGGAGAGAGACAGAGAGAAACTCTCTGAGAAAAACGCAGAGATATAGCCACATAAAAGGGCATCGCATCGCATCGGTGTTTAGAAAAAAGTGAATTGAGCCAAGAGACAAAGAAAATTGGTGCACACTGAGCGCCGCATACGCAATCAAGGAAAGGTGGGAAAAAGGGGGTTTACAGGGGCGTAGAGGGGGAACCTGCCACTTGCACCCTCCGCCAACTGAAAACCAGTTTAGAGTGTGTGTGTGCGTATTGTGCGAGTGTCTGTGCATTAGAGGAGCGACCACATAACTTGGCCAAATGGGCAGATCGTGTTCCCTTTGGCTTACCTCTACCCCCCTTTTTCCCTTCCTGCGACGCCCCTGCATTCCCCATTACCACCCCCTTGCAAACCAACGTTGTAATTGTGGGAGCCACCCGAAAATGAGATTTACGTAGATTAACCAAACAATGCGAAATTACAACACCCAAGAACACCAGGAGAAAAATGTGAAAAGGGAACAGACAATCTTAAAATTTATGATATAATTAGTTTGATTTTTTTTAGATTTTTATGTCAATCCATTCTGGGTAAAGTTTGCTACTGACCGTTTTTTATAGGTCCTATTTAGATGACTTATAAAAATATTTTAGTTGGAAAAAGATTTTGTTTTAAAACATAAATACAGCGGCGGATCCAGAATTTGATTGTGAGAGATGTTTTCAGAACAAACTTTGTGTTGCATTCTTTTTGAATACCAAATTTCCTTTCAATTTTCACCGCAGTAAGGGGATAAATGCCCCAAACTCACAAATTCAATTCAAAATCAAAAACTCAAAATATTTATAAAATGTATAATATTCAAAAAATTGTATGAGCATAATTTTCCAAGTCATTTCTCTCTCTGCAACAGCAATAACATCTAATTTCGATGTTCGGGCAACTTGTGCAGCAGACTCATTCCGAACTTGTTGGCAGTCCGCTGTTCCAGCTGCCAATCCGTTGGCTTTCGTTTTTGGGGCCGGTGGAAAGGGGATCGGATCGCCGGAAGGGGGCAGGCAGAATGGCTTAGGAATCTGCGAGTGCAGTTCCCACATTCCCCCCACACTCTCCCTTTTTCGCCGCCCCCCATGTAATTGCCTGTAATTTAGTGTGTAACTGCAATGGCAACAACAAATCTAAGATGACAACAACCACACGACGAGCAAATTATGCTGTCTTTTTCCACTTTTTCTACATTTTCTACTTCTTTGGCCAAAAGGAAACTCCAAATTGGGCGGAGGAGGTTTTATTTTTTTGGGAGGTAAATGGAGGAGCGAAACGAGGGGCGGTTTGTATTATTTTGTTTTTCTCTTCTTGTAATTTGCATAATGAGATTTTAATTTTTACGCTCGCATAATAATTTCAAATGGTGCGAGGAAGCGAGAGCGGGATGGAATGATGAGTAATCCCCCAGCCCATTGCCACTCCCACTTGGACGCAAGTTCGTTGCCTAAGTCTTTCGTTTCGTGGCCCGAATTAAAGTGTAATTTGGTTAGCCATTAGTTGGTCAGAGACGCGCTAGAGGAGCCGGAATGGCGGCATTTGATCGCCTCTAATTAAATAGCATTTCCGCTTCTTTGGCTAGAAAATGATACAGCGGTCGTAAAGGCAGCCAACAGCTGCTCGGAATGGCCAAGAAGCAAAAGGTGTGGCCTGGGTGAAGACGAAGGGAAAGGAAGACGAAAAGAGGTCCAGAAGATGGCCAAAAAGATTGAGGAAATAACGTGTGGAAGCCCAGAATAGATATAGAATTTTATGCTGAAGAATTCGCGTTTTTTTCTTATACGTTTTTAATCATTATATAGCTCTCTAATCTATAAATTGAAACAGTTTTAATTAATTTGAGTGTAAGAGGGCGGAATAGATAATTTTTTTGTTAAGAATTTTATGCTTAAGAATTCGCGGTTTTATGTTCTAATCTAGAAACCTACCTAACCTCAAAAAAGCACGAAGTTTTCCCAAATTAGAGAAGATTCTCTCTCTGTTCTGCTCTCCATTCCCCGCAATTTCTTCCGCAATTATCTTCGATAATTGCAAATTCCTTTCGATGGCTCTCGGATCCGATGCAAACTTTTGGGCCACAAACAATGATGAGCAGCTGGCCAAGTATTTGGGCTTCTCACTAAAAGCGAGGGGCAGTTATGCCAAGGAGTGCTCTCTTTCGGCCTTCGGGGATTCGGAGACTTTGTGCAACTATTTGAGGCTTTTGCTTTTAGAATTATTGCCTTTTTTATTCGGGCAGCAACTCCCCTGACTTATATATTCTCGTATGTGATTCTTTCAACGACTTTTTTCAGTTGATCGTTTTTAATTTGCTTTAGTTGCGGGCCATAAAAAAAGTTTTCTGGAAGTCTGGGGCCCTTTGGCCAGAGCTTCTTGTTTCACTTTTTTTTCATCTAATTTTGTTGTTTTTTTTTCATATACGAAATTCCGATTTTGCGTTTTTTTTCAAGTTTGGGTTGGGTTTTTGGGTCTTTTATTGTCTTCACGACCACAGATTGGCTTCAATATGCGGCCGAGTAGCAAGAAGAAGACCAAGAAAAGGGGATTGCGGGCATTCGAACTTAGTTTTTAGGGCCTCGACTTTGGACCTGGGTCGCATTTTATGATTATTGAGCTCCCAAATCGCACCAGATACTGAAAGATCCCATCCCCCTTAGTATGGATGGTTATCCATCTCTTTCTCAATTCTTTAGATTGCCCAGTTCAGACCTCATCATTTCAGTTTTGGTTTCTGTTTCTGTTATTTTTATTTTTGCGTGAGCCAATTATGCGTTTTGTATTTCATATTTCGTTCGTTTGTGGTTAATTTTCGGAGGAAGGGAGCAGCAAATCTGCTTTTCCTCCATTGTAATTAAGGAAACGTGACTTTTTGTCAGATTCCATCAAATCTCTTCGTTGCCGAGAATTGGCGTTGTTATTCCAACTTATTGTTGTTTCGCTGTCTCTGTGTCCCGGTGTCCGTTAATTTGGTCTCTCTCACGTTGTTGTACTTTTGATGGGATTTGATTCGATTTGATTTGCCTTGATTTGCGGAAATCATCTAAGCAAAGGGAAGGCATCAGATCAGGGTGGTTAAAATAAAATTAGCCATTAACTCGGAGGGCCCTAAAGATCTGTCATTCCAACTAACTAACTAGATCTTGGGATATAGTGCATGAATCATTGGAACTGTGAATTATTTAGGCCTGTGAATAATATAGATGCAACCCATCGAATTAAATGCGAAATTCCTAGTCAAGAGCACTGCATTCTTCGCTTCGTTTTCCTAACTTTTTGTTGTAAACATTACGCTGAGTTGAAACTCGTGTTGTTGTTAAATTGCTGGGAAGTTTGGAATCGCGGCTACATTTTCAGTCAGTCGGTCGCGGCTTTTTTTCCCCTTCGTTTCGTTGTCGGTTTGTTTTTTCGTTGTTTTCTGAGAGACAAGAGAGGTCACATTTGATAGTCTGAACAAAAATCTTGTCGACGTCTCGAGACGCTCTTGTACATATATGTGTATATCTATGTGTTCAGAGAAGAATGGGTGATAGCCGCCGCCGCCGCCGAAGAGGAAAGAGTCTGAACAAAATGCCTTCGTTAAGCGCTGGCAACGGTTTCAGGCCTTGTTGATGTTTTTTTTTTTCGATTTCGAACTTTTTCCCTATTTTTTGGGCTGCCTATTTTGTTTTTGTTGAGCGGAGAAAAATGTTATAAAAATGTAATTACCCGATGATGAATGGATTAACTACAAAAGAGTGAGAAGCCTGCTCTTTGCTCAGGGTGCGGATGAGGATGGTAGTTGGAGGGGATTTTGGGTGGTGTTTTTCTGGCGGGGGGGTCTACGATCGGGAACTGCTTGGAATTTGTGCTCAAAGAAGTTAACAGTAGTTTCGGATTAAGAAACCGTTTGGGGGATACCCTTACTTAAGTATTCGTATCCTGAAGAATTCGCGTTTTTTTTTGTTTTATGATAATTGGCTTTATTATTCCCTTAGCTAGAATCTGACAAAAGTAAAGATTAAGAAACAGTTTGAAAGATTTCCCTTTATGTTAAGTAAATATGAAATTTCAGTCTGAATAATTCGTGATTTTTCTCTTATGAAGATTTACTCAATATTTTATTTTCCCTGATGATAAGTTTAAAAAACAGTTTTCTTAAATATTTCCCTACATTTCATTTTGGGTTAGTAAGAAATTTTATGCTGAAGAATTCGCGGATTTTTATAAATGCTTCTAGTCAGCAAATTCTACGTTACCAACCTCATCATAATTTCAACATACTCTACCCGAACCCAACTTTAACTCGTGGCATGCACCGCTTCCATCTAACTGCCCCTGCCCCTCACGATTCCCCACGGATGTCGAAGTCGATGTTTGAGGCCCGATGTCTGATGTCTGATTTGTGATGTCCAACCGACTGACTGATCTGACTGGGAGCGGGTAATTGATGCATGAGATTAGTTTTGGGGCCCAAGTACGTGGAAAATCCATAAGCGACGCTCGTTGCTTTTGGATTCGAGGCAGTTGGCGAGACAAACGTTTTAATGACCCACAGGCCGACCGAAAAGTGGGTCACCAATGTGGAAAAATGGAAAAACGGGAGTTGCAAATGGGAGTTAGTGGAAACTAATGACTCACCTTGAGAATGCACCTGCCCACGGCTTCGTTTTCGGCAACGGAAACGTTGTAGAAGCTCTGATCGAAGATCGGTTCGTTGTCATTCACATCGTGGATGGTCACCAGTACGGTGGCACTGGAGGATAAGGGAGGCACCCCTCCATCCCTGGCGATGACCGTTAGCTGGGGCACCGGTTCCGTTTCGCAGTCGATATGCGATCGCGTGGTGATCAGGCCCGTTTGTGGGTCAATCTGGAACCACTGGGCGTGGGTCTCGGGTGTTTCGGCCAGCGAATAACTGAGCACCGAGTTCAAACCCTCGTCGCGATCATGGGCGAGCACCTGGAGGACCGAGGTGCCCGGATCGGCGACCTCCATCACGTTGGCATGATAGAGATCCTGCTCGAACTCCGGCGGATTATCGTTGACATCGGTGATCCGCAGGAATATCGATTTGGAGGCGTGCAGCGGCGGAGTTCCCTTGTCGGTGGCTATCACACTCAGTGTGTAGTTGGAGACCAACTCTCTATCGAGTGGCAGGTGAACTATTACCAAGTAGATGCTGTTATCCCGGGTGGTCAGGGCGAAGTGACCATCTCCTCCGTTCAGCGTGACATTCACATTGGCGTACTCCGTCTTCGAATCGGGATCGTGCACCGAAATCCGCGCCACAAACTCCCCCGGTTGAGCCGATTCCGATATCTTTGGCGAGGCATCGTCGCTGAGGAAGATAACATTTATAGTCGGCTGATTGTCATTCACATCGGTGACTCGTATGGAAACAAAGGCTGTCGTCTCCAGCGGCTGTTCACCATGATCCTTGGCCACCACCACCAGTTCATGCAGCTCCTTGGTCTCAAAATCCAGCGCCTTATTGATGTAAATAGCTCCTGTCCGCGGATCTATGCGAAACATTTGCTCCTTGTCGCTTTGCCTTCGGTTGATCGCATACTCCACCAATCCATTCTCATCGGCATCTGTATCAGAGGCGTAGACCTGAAGGACACTCGTGCCCACGGTGGCATTTTCTGGCACGGTGGCAAAGTATCTGCTCTGATTGAAGATTGGCTGATTGTCATTCACATCCTGAATGGTTATATTCACAGTCATGAATCCCCGGAGTGGCGGAGTTCCGCCATCCAAAGCTTCGATGAGCAGGCTATAACCCGGGGTGGTTTCCCTATCGAGGAAACCACTGATCTGCAGGTCCAAATACAAAACACCATCTCTTTCCCGGTGAGATGACAGCCTAAAGGCATCGTTGACATTCCCCGACACGATATTATATCGCTGGGTGTTGTACGGTTCCAGGTCAAGATCCCTGGCGGGGAGGAGAGTTCTCTTCACCTCCCGGGGGGTGTTTTCTGGGAACTCGATGTGCATCGAGGGCTGGGGAAACGTGGGAGCGTTATCGTTCTCATCTTTAACCGTGACCAGCACTCGAATATTCCGACCACTCAGGGGAATGGCCACCAGGCTGTAGGAGGCCTTGGTCTCCCTGTCCAACTTGACCTTGGTGCGGATCTCCCCGGTGGCTCGATCTATGGCCAGATCCGTTTCCACGCCCGCCTCCGCCACAATGATATAGGGCGGACCACTGTCGATCCCGTCAAAGTCTCCTATATAACCGATCTGATGGTCCACCGACACGCCCTCGAAGACCTCCAGCTTGCGCTCCCTCTCCTTGTCACTGGAACCAGCTTGTGTGGATCCCAGGAGCAGGATCATCAGCAGGCAGAGCAGGCTGCTCCTCAGCATGTGCGAGGGATGCAGGGCGGGTGGCGAGGATCTCAATTTGATGATGATCATGTTGCTGCTGCTGTCGGAACGTCTCCGGCATCGATGGAACATTGTAAAGTCCTTTGTTGTCCCTGTTTCCCTGGCGTTTGCCGAATCCAATGCGGCTTTCATGGTTGATGGATCCACTCGGGGTGGATTTTATTTCGGAAGAAAACGAAGAGGAGCTAAGAGCGTCCCTGACTGAGGTTGCCTCCTTCCAGCATGGCCATGGCAAATCTGAAGGGAAATAAGAAGAAAGGGAAAATTTGCTTAAAATAATGATTAAAGAAATTTAAAAGAAGTTAACAGGAAGTTAACAGAAAGTTAACAGAACGTTAACAGGAAGTTAACAGGAAATAAACAGGAAGCTTACAATCTATATTTCTGTAATGGTACCTGTAATTAGTTTTTGCCATACTTTTTAGCAGTGTAATAAGTTAATAAGTAAAAAGTTAACAGGAAGTTAACAGAAAGTTTACAGGAGGTTAACAGAAAGGTAACAGGAAATTAACAGAAAATTAACAGGAAGTTAACAGAAAGTTAACAATCTATATTTCTGTTCATATAGGCTAGAAATGTTACGGTTCCTTAGTTCTTTCCATACTTTTTGGCAGTGTAATAGTGACAAATGTTCTAACCATAATCACCGCCCACACTTGAAGCTTCGAAGCCTAGACAAAAGTCCAACTTTGAGAACCCCCAGAGAAGAAGAGGCCATAGTTGCAGCTAATAGACTGATAACTGCCCCAATGCGCTTAGCTCCGCCTGATGACTGCTATGATGATAATGATGATGGTGGCGGGGATGGAGAACCTGAAGATGGAGGCTTACGCATGGTGGAGGCATTTCCATTTGGCCATTTGGGGGAATTTGAAATGCTAATAGACGGCCAAGAGAGATCAGGAATGAAGACAAAAGACGCGGACGATGTGGATGTCGATTCTACCTGCGTGCGAAAGGTTCAAAGGCTAAAAGGGTCTCGGTTTGCTTTTTGGGCCTTTGTTATACTGGTTTTGGTTTTTGGGATTGGGTTCTGGGTTCTGGGCTCTCGGATGAAATATGGCCTGCACACACAGCAACAAACAACAAACGCACACTCACACATTCCGAGAGAAATCGAACAAACAATTCCCTGGGCCAAAAGTTGGGCTCAGAACTCAGAACCTAATGCCATGTGGCTGGAATTGAAATTGGAATCGAAATGGGAATGGGAATGCTTTGAGGTCCGAGCAATTCGTGGCGAACAATTTAGTTAACAAGACCATGACTAACACTTTTTTCTTTTTGAGTGGCCAAAACAACATTTGTTTCCACTGCAATTTGAAGAGAGATTTTTCTCGCGCGATAAGCGAAAAAAAGAATAGAAATGAAAAAGGGAGGCAACGATATAAAAAATAAAATTATGATTATTATTTTGGGAATGCCTTGGAAATTTCACTTCGTGATCAGATAGAGATCTTACAACTCCTAACCCTCGAGAACTCAAAAGATCCCAGATGATCCTGTTTGATCGTGGCCAGCAATTAAAACCGAATTAATGAGTCTTGGGAAACGAAGAGATCAAACATGGCGTTAGAGGACTGACTCTTCCCCCAGTCAAATGATTGACACACAACTACTATACCGACTATCATCCTCTGAGGAAAGAGAGATTTCTGCGGAGAAATTAGCCAGTCTTTCATGTCCATCGAGAGATGCCGCTACCATTAGGCCTCTAATAACTTTATAATGATCATGTCCCTTCCTTCCATGACATGAGGCGTAATTTAATAAACTGCAACGGTTCCGGGGCCCCCATCAAAAAAGTAAAGTCGAGGAGTACGTTACTCCCCTGAACTCTGTGATACGCAAATTACCCCAGGAGATGGAGACGGAGGTCTGAAGTTCCAGTTGCGGAAACGTCAGTTTGATTTGCACTTGTCATAAGTTTAGATGAACTGCTAATACCCGAACACATTAGAAAGCCCGTGGAGCTCGGTGCCTCCCGATCCCTGGCGCCCCAAGTTGGACAGTTCTGGACGGGAGAACCGCAGATCCGCAGATCACTCGGATCGCAGAGCAGTCCGATTTGAGTGCCAGCTGGCGGTCGGTCGGTCGCCTTGCGTGTGGCTGCACCTGAGATCTGAGATCCGTTGGAAATGGAAATGGCAATGTGGGAATGACCAGTGGAGGGAGCAAAATGGGAGCTGGCACTGCGAGAAAATAGGTTAAAGCTATGAAGGGTCATGTCTAAGTCATTAGAAGTAGTTGAGGGCAGTGTAATATCATCTGGGTTGCCGTAGAATTATTCGTATAATTCTTAAAACTTTCCGCCCAGTTCGTAATTTGTAGATTAATGATACTTTTTCTAGATATTAAGTATAATTATAAAGCAAGGCCTAAAAAAATACGGTAATAATACGATCTACCCCGTAGGACACCAAACTCGTAGCACCCTATAAATCTAAAACCCATCTCAATATCCTACTTTTATCTGCCATATTTCTTGCTGTGTGCTAATGAAAGAGTGCATATGGGCAGAATGGATATCTTGGGGTTCTCTGTGCACTCTGGCGGCATCTAATATCGAATGACAAAGTTGTAATTATATTTGTGGTTCCAGTTCTTGGCTGGGGTTCCAGGGAGTTCCTAACAATTTCACGTTGCCATCTCAGGTTTTTGTGGCCATTAAAAATTATGCTTTTTCCCGGGAGAATTTTTTGTTTCTGTTTCGTTGTTTTTACGAGCGCACAAAAGCTCGTAAAACCGTTCCAACAAAAAAACAAAAAGAGGAAAACTGAAAAATCAGAAACAAAAACAGAGCGGCGTCAATAAAATCTAGTTAATAGCAAATAAAGGCAACAACAAATACCCATAACCCCGTGGAGCGGTATAAAACGTACACAATCATAACAATAACAGCGTAAACTTTACAGCCCAACTAATTAGGCTGGCGAATGAAAAGTCAAAGAGAAAAGGAGATTCGGAGAAGGAGAAACGAAGAGGATCAGTCCAAATCAAGAGGATTCTCTACTCAAAAGGCTACTGTAAATTAAAAAATATTATTTACAAAATCCGGCTCGAAGGACCAACATTAAAAATGTTTGAATACTTTAGTCTTTATTGGAGTTCATGGTTTGTGAACTGTATTATTTCTTTAATATTTAAAAAAACGGAAATATAATGGTAAAATGGGCACATAATTAGACCAAAAGTTTCGCATGGTCACAAAAAATAAGAAAAGAAAAAGTAAGAAGAATCAGTAGCCGGAAGAAGTGTTTTGCCAACGCTTAATCACTGACCAAACAGCAGGCAGCTAAAACAAAAATAAAAGCTCTTTAGAGACTTCATTAACATGCACATTACACATGTAGCAGAGATTTTCTACTCGAACAATTAAAAAGAGTCGAAGAAGAAAATCAACTTGTTTTGGCCGAGATATGGTTGTTGTTTTTGCGGTTCCGCTCGTGATTTAACTGCAAATTATGCAAAATTGTTGTCTAAAACCAGAGGCTAAGTAGGTGGTAAGTAGACGCTTTAGAGCGTGTTTAATTAAATGTTGAGTAATTTATGAAAACTGGTAAGGAGGGGATTGGAGGTCTGAGTTTATACGGCCAGTCTGCCAGCTAATAAGTTACTTCTAATGACTTTCTAATTGTCCGACACACACGAGACGTCTGGCTATAAACAGCGTAACTTTAATTGTCCGCATATTAATCGAACTCATTTAGATGCAAATCCAAGATCCGACTGGCCAGATCTCCGAGATCGAGATCTCCCAGAGTTTCGAAGCCAACGGAGCGTGGATCACGTCAGATATCCGTTTTTTCCAGAGCTGCGAAAGCGTGAAGCTAACACGAGAGTTTTTCTGCTAGGAAAAGTGCGAAAATGCAAGTGAAATGCAAGAGTTATTCGTTTTCATTTCAATTTCAATTTCGGTTTCCATTTCGATTTTAATTTCGCTGATTTCACTTTTTAAAGGCCCTTAACCGGTGTAAATCAAGCAAGTTTGACACTTTTTAATTGCCAGCATGGAATATCGCATAATGAGCGCTAATTAGTGGCAAGTGACAGCGAAAAAACAGAAAAAGAAACAGAGATGAGATGTTCTGGTTCATATCTTATCGCTGCAACGACAGCGGCAACATCCACAAGTTGTAGACGATGGGTGTTGCATCCTTTAGGGTTACAAAAACGGGTTACAATTTGTAATAAAAAACTGAAATAAAAATTTTTGTTCAATGCATAAAGATTAGTTGAAATTATTTGCAAACTAAAAATGGACGTCTCAACATTTATTGGAAATGCTTAATAGGAAATGAAACTAGCATGAACTGGAATTAAAATAAATAGATTTTTTAGCGGGAAGTTTTAATTTCTTAAATGCAAAATATTGGAACCCTTTAATCACCTTATCAACTGCAAGGACACTATCATCATAATACCTTCAATGCCACCTAAACCAATACAACTATGGGGTATTAAGAGTTTTACTTGGCCACCGGAAGCCTGTCCATATGGCATCATCTTCTCGCTGACTCAGATTCCCACTTTTTGTTTGGGTAGCCGAAAGCATTTAGCAATGATTGTCATGGCCCAGTGTGTTTTTGGTCATTGTTTGGCGCGTTTTATGGTCGCCATTAAGGCATAAAGCCAAGACGCAGCTCATAATGCTAATCCCCGATCCGATCCCTCGATCACTCGATCTCCGGAGAGTGGTTCATTAACCCACGGCAGCACCCGCCCCTTTTTGTCGTAAAAACACACAGAAATATTTCTCAATCAGCATCCGATTTCGATAGCAGCCAAAATGTATAACGTTTCGTTGCCGCTTATCTCGGGCGTATGATTCTGGCATTCTGGTTCTATAACGAAGACTGACCAATAAAACAAATCAAATTATGTGGCCAACATGTTTATGGGTCCGGGAAACAAGTGTGAAAATTTAAAACGAATAGCCTAATTTACAACTTTATCTTGAGATGGTTATTTTGAAGGTATTAAGATTTGCTTTTAATTTTAAACCTAATTGTCTTATTTTATAAATCCATACCTTATTTTATTTTATCTATTTTTATCCTGAAGTTATTAAAAGATAACAATATTAAAATAGTTTATATAACTTTATAGAGTGCAATATACCCCTTTTAGGTTCATCATCTAATTTTAAAGTTAATAGTTCTATTTTGGGACCTTCTGTCTTTTTCTCTGATTGATATCATTTCGAATTTAATCTGGTTTTAATGATGCCCACCCGTGCAATATCAGGGCCAGCACATGTGGGCCATAAAACGGACCCGAATCTCTAGATTGGTCAATGCGACATGCTCGAATTAGGATGGTTATTGTGTCGGCAAATATTTATGCGCGCCTGACACGAGAGATGGGGAGTCGCGCGAGTCGAAACTATTTACAACCTGTTCCATTCTTTTCCCAGCTAGAGAGCTACAGAAAAAGAAGAAGTGTCTTCATCCAGCGACGGACGATGAACATATTCGCCGACTAATCACAGGCCAAGTCACATTCGAATGTCCGCGGTGCCAACTCGCATGAGGCTCAACAAAGAAATTAGCGCGAGGAAAATCCCATTCCCCCAATCCCCCGTTTTCCTCCTTCGAGAGCGGGTGTTTGCAGCAGGTGCGTGTCTTCCCGTACAGTGAAGAAAAAATGTGACGGTTTTTTAAAACCATTTATAGGAATATCAATAGGTAGTCGTAATATTAAAATTCTTAAGGGGATTTAAAATTATTAAAATCCTATTTTATTTAAAATTTTTTAAAGTACTGGTTTTCCACCCAAACAAAATGTTAAATATGAGCATTTTTTTATTGACAATTACGAACTGTTCTTTTCCCGGTGTATTCCTCGGCCACGTCTAATGTAATTTTCCCGGCACATCGAGCTGAATGTGTGTGGTCCGCTCTGATGGCTTTTCCTCCGCACACACGCGAAAATAGATTAAAGCGTAATCTTTGTTTGTACAGCGCTAAGCATTGCGGCAATTAGTGGGGAAAAAAAGGGGGTAAAGGAAAAGCCGACGGACAGTGGAGCAATTTAAAGCACATTAAACTGCGTTTTGCAAGTTTGTGTCCTCAGTCTTTCGTTTCGTGCGCCCGCACCTTTGGACCAACGAACCAACCGAGCGAACACCTGCCGCCCAGAGATAAAAGCGAAGATGAACCTACGTTCCATAACCGTTAGGTCTTCTGATAAAGCAAATATTTAGTAGAAAATAAAGGGATGGGGCTGGAAAGGGCACAAATACACACACACCGAATGGGAAATGAAAATTATATTTTATTCTGTTCTGTTCTATGCTGTTCCCTTCTCTCAACTCGGCTCAACTTTGAACTCGGCGGCCTTTTGTTTTCCCGTTCGGCGTTTCAGGCCAACATTTGAAGGGAAGTGTAAATTAACGGCCATAAAAAGTGGTCCCTAACGTCCGACTGCTCTGGCTTTTAGCAGCATGAAAATTGAATTGGGCCCCCCGGTCGAGCGTTTCGTAATAATTTAACAACGCACAGAAATTTAATTGGAATGGCATTAAAAAATCTAAGCACGCCTCGAACTTCCTCCCCGAAAAGTTGTCAATTATAAAATAGTTTATTGTCGTTACAGAGAAATAAAAAACTGGGTTTACAACTTTAGGAAAAATAAAAGAATATTTAATACAAATATTTTTCCGAGTTCCTGTTTTTTATAGATTTTTTTATAAAATCGTTTGAGTGCAGTATGATCTTCTCGTTTAAAAATTTCATTCCTGAAAAGACCTAAAAATTTTAGAAGGCATAGAAATTGATTTATGCTACTCTTTTTTCCTCAGATAAACCTCCAATTTGTTTTCTTCGGTGTAATATTTGGTATTGTCATAGCTGTCTGCATTTTGTGTGGAGTTTTTCCAGGAATCACAGTTGGGCGACACTTTGCACACATTTCCATTCTCCTATTCCTATTCCGATTCCTATTCCCTTCACGTGTCGCTCCGTATCGACAGAGATTAGAGATCGATCGCCTCAATCGTCGTCGCTTGGCGACGTGTAAAACAGGTAGAATAAAATTCCCAATGCCATTCCCATTCCCCTTGCCGATCTTCCAGCCACACAACATCTCATAGAGCACCACACCACACCAACGCCAAGAACACCGACTCTATTTGTTTTTTCCACATTTTCCTCGGGAGCAAACCGAAAAAAAATAAAGAAATAGAAAAATACGAGGTGGAGATGGAAAAGAGGAAAACTCGAACAGCACTTGGAGAAATGGAATACAAAGTGGAGAAGGCGAAGAAGAAATAAAAATAGATAGAAGGAGGCGGTTCACATTCACGGCGGAGAGTGTGTGTTTTCCTCTTCTGCAACTGCAACTGCCACCTTTTTCTTTCTCGGACTCGAACTCAAACTCGAGTCCATCGCTTTCGATTACCAATTTGACTATTTCAAGTTGTTTTCGCTCCTGTTTCCCCAGCACAAAACGGAAAACGAAAAGAAAAACATCTAATTAGGCCCGGCCCAAGCGGGCCTTTCAAAATTCTGGGTGTTTACTTAAGTTTTGTTTGGCTCTTTCATGTTTTATTTTTAGGTCTCGAAAGGTTTTACCTACTGTTGGGCTAAAAATATACAGATTTTTTTATGTACTTGTGCTTTGCATAGATTTAAAATAGTAGGATGCTCGCTTTCAAAAAATGTCTAAAACATGATACTATTATTTTCATTTAATTTACTGCATTTTAAATTATTGTAAACCATTATATTTACATAGTTATATTCCCTACTAAAATTTGTATAACTTTAAATAATATTTCCACCCATTTATAAATATTTTTCTTGGCTTGAACTTTTTTAGTTGTGAGTCTTGTCTAAATTTTTCCCAACTTCAAGGTTCACATTTAAGAATATAGACAGTGTCGGGTCACGCAGCCGCGGCAGCTAATTAACTTGTAAATCCGTACTCTTATATCAATTGCATCACGAAAGGCATCTCTCTCTATTTATCTCTCCCATTTGTTGTATGCTTGCATTTTGGGCCCAGCATTCGGCTGGCTGGCCCTTCGTAAATTCAGTATGAATTCTGATCTCGCCATAAAACGCATTCTCGTCTCGCCTGCTGTACTCTTTCGATAATAAATTGTTAACAAGCATAAACCAACCCAATTTTCTTATTTTCGTTTGCATTAACTAATAAAAAAGCTTATTAGTTCAACATTGGTGACCCCGACGTGATTCGTACAAAAACAATATTAAGTGCAAATCACATAAATAAGTCTATTTATTGACTTTTCGTTGTTGCGGCTGCGGTGCATTGGCGGAGCCAGAAATCATTTGTCGAAAAAATAAAGCCTTGAATGCAGTGAGCGCTATAAATAAATAGCATTTTTGTGTTGCCGAAATTTGCATAAAAATTAGTTATATATTGGAGCGTACATAGCCAATTAACGGGCCGTTATTTCTTCGTTTGCTTTGCGCTCATCTTCCCGCTGAAACCGAATTTCGGGCATTTCGTCTGCTTGTGCCGTTGTTGTTGTTGTAGCCATGCCTACGGGAATTGCTGGAGATGCTACCGCTGATGAAAACAGGGTGATATTTTTTAAAGCGCAAGGCAACTGCTTTATTTAATAGAGTGGAGCGTTTAGTGGATTCCCTTTCAAGTGCGGCGTTAACTTCATGCGACGAATCCGGGCTCCACGTGAGGTTGGAGCTGATTGATGAGCTTCAAGGAACATTTAAAAAGGTTCTTGGTGAGCTCGAAGAATTGGATTTCGAGGAAATTGAAAGTGATTTGAGTGAAAAATTTGATGACATTCTCGTACTTTTGAAGTCATCTGTTCGATCCGAAATTTCAAAGCGCGCCTCACAGCTCCTTTCGCACTCAACTCTTGCTGACGGCATCACTCCCGGAGCTTTCGGCCTCCAGCAGCGTCAGCCTCGACATAGGGCAACATTACTGCCTCCACTTGAGCTTCCAAAATTCGCTGGAGGTTATGCAAATTGGTCTGATTTTTATTCTATGTTTACCACTATCATAGATAGTCACCCTGATCTCACCAACATAGAAAAGCTGCAGCATCTACGATCATGCCTGAGGGATACTGCGTTGGAAACTATTCGCTCGCTGGAAATTTCGGACGGCAACTACGCAATTGCTTTGGATTTACTGCAAAATAGATTTGATAATCGTCGTTTGGTTTTTCAGGCACACATTACTGAGATCCTGGGAATAAAGGCGGTGCAGAGTGGTTCCGTTTCGACACTTCGGGAGCTGTCGGATAAATTCAACGCTCATATCCGCGCTCTTAAGGGGCTGGGCACGACGGAACAAATTGCAGGATGCATCATCGTCCAAATCCTGTTCCAAAAATTGGATCCGGCAAGTCAGGCCAAGTGGGAAGAGCGTTTAGAGGACCCTGCCTTCGTCAACTTAATTCCTACTTGGGAGTCAATGGCATCATTTCTGGAGCAGCGGTGCAGGACGTTGGAGACGATGGATTTTGCCATGGCAAACTATGCGCCGGGCATTCAGGTGGGAAGTAACAGAATACCCAATACGCGTAGATCAGCATTTGTTGCCTCGAATTCGAACCCTTGGATCTGTATATTCTGTAATGATGCAGGTCACTCCATTTCTTATTGCCAGAATTTTAAAGCCCTGTCTCCTACGAATAGGCTTCAAGAAGCAAAACGGCTCTGTCTTTGCATAAATTGTCTTAAGGTTGGTCATCAAGTTAGGCAGTGCAATTCCAGTAATTGTCGTGCATGCGGATCGAAGCATCACACCCTGCTTCACATGGGAAACTTAGCTTCCCTTTCTTCACAAGAAGGAGCACCTCTTCAAGAAGCAATTCCGTCTGCATCACCATCTGCACTGCCTTCCACCTCGACTGCTCTCATTGCACAGGATTTTAGTAATGATATTGTGCTCTTAGCAACGGCAAGCGTATTAGTAAAAAACCGCTCCGGAGTTTTCGTTCCCTGTCGAGTTCTACTCGACTCTGGCTCCCAGCTGCATCTAATAACGTCCCGATTCGCAAGCCAGCTTCAAGTAAAGAAGATAAAATCTTTAGCATCTGTTACTGGAATAGGAGATTCCAGTTTTGTGACGGATGGTCATTCGGTTAATATTACGGTTCGGTCCCGAACTTCCGATTACTCAGCCAACATTACCGCGGTGATTGCTCCGAACATCACAGAGCGGCAGCCTAGCTTCAATGTCGACATCGGCAATTGGAAAATACCTAAAAATATTCAGTTAGCGGACCCCAGTTTTTATACTCCCCAGCGGGTGGACCTTTTAATCGGAGCCAGCCTCTTTTACGAGATGTTATGCGTTGGCCAAATTAAGCTTCCACATGGATTACCCCTACTTCAAAAGACTCGTCTGGGTTGGGTTGTTTCTGGAGGTTATGGCCTCTCCAATGGCTCGTCCTTATTGTCGTCTCAAGAGTTACCCCTCGCTAGCAGGGAGAATAGTTTCGATCGGTTAGATGATCTTCTTCGACGATTTTGGGAAGTGGAAAGCTGCGCCGAGCCAATCATACGCGCTACTAAGGAAGAATTGGACTGTGAAGCACATTTCGTAAGACACGTTGTTCGTTTGCCAGCTGGGGATTATTCTGTTCGTTTACCTGCCAAGCTCAATCTAGACCTCTTGGGAGAGTCCTACCAGCAAGCTTATCGAAGATTCTTGTCCCTAGAGAGAAAGCTAAATCGTCAGCCAGCCTTGAAGGCTCAATATGGAGCATTCATAAAGGAATACCTCGATCTAGGACATATGTCATCAGTGTCTGCCTCTGACAGCGGGTTGTGCCGATACTTCTTGCCTCATCATTGCGTCATAAAGGAAGATAGCTCCACCACAAAGCTCCGCGTAGTTTTTGATGGATCGGCGGCCAGCTCCTCAGGGTATTCTCTCAACGATGTTCTTATGGCAGGCCCTGTAATTCAGCATAAGCTGTTCCAGATTCTTCTTCGGTTTCGTTCACACCCGGTAGCAATCACAGGAGACATCTGCAAAATGTACCGCTGTGTTAGGGTTCAGCCTGAGGACAGCTATTTGCAATGCATTTTGTGGAGGGATTCCCCCAGGATCAATTGCGGGTGTTTAAGCTAGACACCGTTACCTATGGCACGAAGCCAGCATCATTTCTGGCTGTGCGAGCTATGCATCAGCTGTCAGCAGACGAGCATACAGCGTTTCCGCTTGGGGCTGAGGTCATTCGTCGCGATTTTTATGTGGATGATTTGATATCTGGAGCCAAATCCAAGGAAGAAGCAATCATCATTATGGATCAAACATCAAAACTTCTAGCCAAGGGAAAATTTAAGCTTAGAAAGTGGTGCTCGAATGTGTCAGCTGTTTTGGAGGGAGTTGCAGACAAGGATAAGGAGTCTTATTTGAAGTTTGATGATGGAACTGATTTTGCAAAAACCCTAGGTCTCGCTTGGGATCCAGTTTCTGACCAATTACTGTTTTCCTTTTCGGTCTTACAGTCAGCATCAAGACCTTGCAGGCGATCTGTCCTGTCTGCAATAGCGCGATTTTACGATCCCCTCGGGTTGGTTGGACCTGTGATCACAAAATCGAAAATATTCCTTCAACAACTGTGCAAGGAGAAGTTATCCTGGGATGAAAGCCTCCCGGAGTCACAGAATACGGAATGGAGTGCTATATGCACGAGTTTTGGGCAAATTAAGCATGCGTCATTTCCTCGGCTGGTTCTTTCTCCAAACTCTGAGAGTGAGATTCATGGATTTTGTGATGCCAGCATAGAAGCATATGGTGCCTGTGTCTACATCGTTTGCAACGGCCGATCTCAATTGCTTTGCTCAAAGTCAAGGGTAGCCCCCTTAAAAACACTCACTGTGCCCAAGCTGGAGCTTTGTGGGGCTGAACTCCTGTCTAGACTCATCGCGGAAGTTGCTGGGACTAAGGCATTTGAGGGAAGGTTATACTGCTGGAGCGACTCTGCTGTTGCGCTTTCATGGATCCGAGGCGAGCCCTCCAGGTTCAACATTTTTGTAGCGAACCGAGTAGCTGCCATTCAAGAGCTAACTGAGTCAGTAGAGTGGCGATATGTTCCAACTTCTTTAAATCCAGCTGACATTCTCTCCCGAGGTGCTTTTCCTGCTGAGCTTAATGACTCTCCTTTGTGGGCGCATGGACCAAAATTCCTTTGTGGCCCCAAAGCTGACTGGCCGGCCCCAATCATTGCTGAAAGACCAACGCTTGAGGTTCGCCGAAAGATTTTACTAATAAAATCTCCATACGAAGACATAGTGGCTAATTCAAAATTTGCCAATTCCTTCGCCGCCCTTCAAAGAGTTTTCGGATACGTCTACAAGTTTAGTAATCGCATCCGTCGCCCTACGCTCACGGTGTCTGACCTTCAAGGCGGTACTCGGCTGTTGCTTCGTCTGGTCCAGCGCTCACATTTATGGGACGACATCAAATCGTTGCAGTCAAAGGGATTGGTGCACCCATCCAGCTCTATCGCATCTCTTTCGCCATTTGTTGATCAATTTGGGATTCTTAGAGTGGACGGCCGGCTAAAGAATTCTTCGCTGGATTTTAATGGGCGCCATCCAATTATTTTACCACGGAGTCATTCGGTCACTGCTGCCATTATTACTCACTTTCACGAAAGCAATCTGCACACTGGACCACGGGCGCTACTCGGCATAATTCGATCCCAATATTGGCCTATTGGGGGGAGGAAGACGGTGATGAAGGCAGTAAACAAATGTATTAGATGCTATCGAATGAAGCCTCGACTAGTGGAGCATATAATGGCGGATCTTCCAAAGGAACGACTCGATGGATCTCATGCATTCGAAGTCACTGGCATTGACTTTTGCGGACCATTTCTCTACAAGTCAGAAGTGCGAAGTAAGCCTCCAGTAAAATGCTACGTTTGTGTCTTCATTTGTTTCGCCACAAAAGCTATTCATTTGGAGTTGATTAAGGATCTCTCTACAGTGTCATTTCTACATGGCCTTAAACGATTTATATGCACTAGAAGAAAGCCACGGCAGATTTGGTCTGATAATGCAACAAACTTTGTCGGCGCTCGCAATGAATTGCTCGAACTAAGGCGCCTATTCCTCAGCAATGATCATCAGAAAGCTACATTGGACTTTTGCCTGGCGGAGGCCATTGATTGGTGTTTCATTCCTCCTAGGTCGCCTCACTTTGGCGGTCTTTGGGAAGCGGCTGTGAAGATCGCTAAGCATCATTTTTACCGCGTTGTTGGCACTGCTGTTTTAGCCTTTGAGGAGTTGCGGACCTTGGTGTGTCACATTTAGGCGGTTGTTAATTCTCGACCATTAGTCTCGATTTCAGAAAACCCCGCTGATCTGGATGTGTTAACCCCAGCACATTTTTTGAATGGTGGTCCGCCTTCATCTTTCGTCGAGCCAGATGTGACCAGTCTCAACTTCAATCGCTTGGATGGATGGCAACGCGTGGCCTACTTGCAGCAGATCTTTTGGTCCCGATGGAAGGAAGAATACCTAACACTTCTGCAGCAGCGCTCCAAGTGGCGCACCCCCAAACCGGGCCTGGTTGTCGATGACTTAGTTCTGGTCAAGGACGAAAACTTGCCTCCCATGAAGTGGCCCCTCGCCAGAGTGATTGAGCTGCTGTTCGGTGGAGATGGCGTTGCTCGAGTTGCCGTTCTGAAGACAGCCTCAGGAGTGACAAAGCGAGCAGTGAACAAGCTATGTCTGCTGCCCCTTAAGGATGATGTTGAAACCCAGGCTTCCAACGGGGGGAGTATGTCGGGTCACGCAGCCGCAGCAGCTAATTAACTTGTAAATCCGTACTCTTATATCAATTGCATCACGAAAGGCATCTCTCTCTATTTATCTCTCCCATTTGTTGTATGCTTGCATTTTGGGCCCAGCATTCGGCTGGCTGGCCCTTCGTAAATTCAGTATGAATTCTGATCTCGCCATAAAACGCATTCTCGTCTCGCCTGCTGTACTCTTTCGATAATAAATTGTTAACAAGCATAAACCAACCCAATTTTCTTATTTTCGTTTGCATTAACTAATAAAAAAGCTTATTAGTTCAACAGACAGATTTATTACTCTGACTTTTCCAAGGCCCAACTCAGCTGCTTTTTTCACTGGTAACTTCTCTTAAAATCATAACTGTCTTCCCTGACATTGTCCCCCTTAAGTGCTGGCTTATATTTTTGGGTGGTACTTTTCATCTTTTCTCTTACATTTCGTGGCCTCTTCTTTGCTGTGCTGCTGCTTTTGCTTTTGAGCCGCTGAAATGCTGCGGCTGTTGCCAATATTTTTCACCAAAGGCGAAAACCCGCTGCCACAAACACACAATGTTGTTGTATCTTTTTAGCCACACGGCCGAAGCGAGCCAAAAAGAACTCGTTTGACTTGTTGAACAATATTTCTTTTCGCCTTTTACTCTGTGTATTTGTTGTTGTGCTGCTGCTGCTGCTGTGTTTTGTTTGTGTATACGCTGTGGGATTTTCTTGGCTGAATTTTTAAAAAACACACTCTTCTGTGGAAATTCTAAGTGATTCGTATTGATTTGTGTAATGATTTTCCACCAAACTTTTCTCACACACGCGACGGCGACAAAAAACGGTGACGAAAACAAAAATAAAAACGCGGCGAAGAATTCGAGATTTTTCAAAGGGGCTATAATATTTGATTCGATTATTATTCGATTAAACTTTATTTGTCTGCACTGCACTGGGTGATTTTCTGGCACACTCTTTCGTATATATATTTCGGGATATATTTCCTATTATTATAGCCAGATTTTTGCGAACTCGAATTCAAATTCCGACGGCGACACGAGGAGAACGCGACTGAGAAACGAATTTCCTCCGCTCGCTGCGATTCTCCAATGTGGCTGCGACGAAAACACACGACAGACTGAAGACTGAAGAGCCCCGAAGACCGGAGACTGGAGCCGGGCTCTCTCTTTCTTCAGGATACCTGAGGCCCGAAGAAACCCACCTCGAAACCCACCTGTGGTCAAGAGATTGCTGTAATGAAGATGGCGAGCCCGAAGAATCGCAGAGAGGTGAGTTGGGTTCTCAACTCCCCAGAGTGGTTTGGTCGGTTTCTCCCCGAGAATCAGAGGCCCAGAGAGAGGAATTCCGAAAAGGTGCACACACAATACACAAAATAAAATCGACGACAGGTCCACAATTAGCCAGGGAAGAGAGCTATCTATCTGCATTTTCTCTCGCTTCGAGAGAGTCGCCTGTGCTATAACCACTACTAATGACTACCCATTGTTTTTGTGGCAAGTCCAGGCTCTTCTGGCATGTAAATTAGCTGCTCTCCGCTGCAGAAAGAGCGAGAGAGAGAGAAAGAGAGCTCACCTGAGGAGCATAAACCGGTTGGCGGTCATGCTCACCTGTGTGCCGAGTTGTTGTTGCCGAGTGCAGTTGAAGTGGTGGCTCTACACAGAGAAAAAATGCTAGGATAACGTATCAGTTTTGGCAGAAATTTAATATGGTATTTTTAAAAAGAATCTAAATGATAGGATCTAATATAGGGTATGATATAATATCAGTTTGAACCAGATATTTTTGTCAAATTGGTACTTTGTATAGGAAACACTCTACGCAAAAAACTATTCAGAATGATATGATCTTTCAGATCTAAAGTGATAGTATAAAAATAATACCAGAAACTTAAAATGGTTTAAAATTAAATTAATATAGTTAAAAATAGTTTTGTAATCTGATAAACATCAACAGGGAATTTTGGGGAGTTATGCAAAAAATAAAATACCAATAAAAGCAGGATTTTTTTTTCTCTGCACAGTGAAGTGCGCAAAGGGGATCCCAGGGGATGCACGGGGGTAAAGTGCGGCGTTGAGTGTTTGGTATGCAGCCCCCCTGCCCCGCCCCCTTCCGCTGCCCCATCCACCGCCTCCTGCTCCTAGTTCTTCCCATTGTTTTTCGTTTTTCGGGGCTTCGAAATTAGGCAGGAGCAACAAAGTTGCGTCAGCCAGCAGACAATGCAAATGTTGCGTAAGTTGTAACAAATGAAAATCGAAAAAAAGAAAAGGGGTAAAAACTGAGTTATGGAGATCGCTGTATGGATAATGGTAATTGCAATCGGGATCTTAAGCTTAAGCCATCAATATATTCAAACCCATTTCGAAAAACAAGATTTTGCTTTAACTGGCAATAAAAAATCCCAAGAATCTAATGAGTTGATAGCCTCATTTTCGGTTTAACGATGGCTAAATATAATAATTCAGAGCCATTGAAATGGCATTTGATGTGCGCTTTTTCCCGTTCTTCAATCGCGGCTGTCAATCAATTGCAGATCTGCAGAACTAAATACTTTTACTATTCGTTTTCTCCACGAAGCACTTGGAAATTTTGGCGCCTCGAGTAAAAGTTGCTGCAGCAACATTAACGAAAATTCCGAGCCCACTTTTTTCTCCTCCTTCTTTTTGGGGTGGGACCATCGTGGCGATGCCATAGAGCAGATTCTGATTCCGTTCCCAACTCCGCGGAACTCTCGAGCATTCGCAAATTCTGCAATTTGTCTGGGAAACGTACACGAAAAGTGCGTGCCACATAGCAGCAAAAGTCGCTGTTGTCGGAGGCGAGTTTATCGGGGAATTGGAATGGGAATGCACGCTGCACGTTGGTGGCTCAATGAACATGGACTTGGAATCGCCCTGGTGGATCACTGCCAGTGCGGGAGGTTCTCCTAATCCCATACTCCAGCCGACAATGGACAATGGCCTAACCATTTGGTCATTCGCCGCTTGTCAAAACCGTAAATGACGTCGCTTAGCTGTCGGCTTGCATTTGCCACTTTTCAAATGAAATGAGTTAACAGCCACAGCAACAGCAACAACAACACACCAGAGCAACAACAATCTTGACAGGCACTTGAAAACCTAAGAGAGCTGTGTCTGTCTGCACAGAAAGAAAATATGCAGAGGGTTTATCAAAGAAGGGATTTTTTTGAAACACAATAATGATAAATTTAAAAATTATAATAAATTAAAACAAATTTATAAGTGAGAACAGGCATTTTTTAGAAGAGAAATAATTATAACATCTTTACAATTGTTTGCACAATGAACTTAATTTGAAATAACCATTATTTTCATTTGTTACATTTCGTTTTTCCTGAAGTAAAAATGGAATTCATTGTAAGAAGCATGACCGTTAAATGAACATTTTTTAAACAAACCAAAATAACTAAAATAATGTGGAAATTATTATAACATTTTTTTTTTTTTGATTAGTTTTAACTAAGATGTTTAAAAAATTATATATATTATTTTCCTACTAAACAAATTACCGAACTTTCAATGATAAATATGTATTTGTTGTTTGAAATATGACTAAAAATTTGTGTATTCGAATGAGATATATCTTAAAATAAACAGTGTAGTTTTAGCACATTTTGAATATCTCAGTTGCCAATAAATCCAATAGTTAATTTTTTTGTGTGCAAACAAAGCGATTTGAGATCTGGGCTAGAGCGGATAAAGCTGGTCACTGCCGCCACCCACACGCAGACCCAGATCAGAGGCGTACTTGGATTTGTGGGTATATACTATATAGAGATATAGGAGGGGGTGCTCTGAAAAAGGGGAGAGAGATTCGTTGCCCGCCCGCAGCTTGCAAATCAGTTAATGGCCACGGACACAATTGAGACTCGGGCCGAGTTGAGTTGATGGATTTATGGATGGAATCCGATGGATGGACGGATGGATATGGTTGGATAATTTGCAGCAGCCATTGAAATTTGGCACTACTTCTACGGCGGGGTAAAAAAAGAGAGAGCTATTGGATTAGCAGATCCGATACGATCCGATCAGATCAATCGATCGATCAGCGGGCATCTCCAGCTGCTTCCTGCTTTGTCAACATTTCGGCGTCCAGAACAACGTCGTTCGACAATTCAGCATTTCAGCATTTAGGATTTCAGCTTTCAGCGATCAACGATCGACGATCGACGTTCAACATCCAGCTTGTTGCTAAAAGCCCACACACAAAAACGACAAAACGAAGCGAATCGGAATCCATCATGCGAGTAATATGCAAAGTTACATAGCTGCAACATCCTAGCCGGCAAAAATATGGAGGATGAGGACCGAGGACTGGGCTGAGCCATTCATTCGCCTTAAAATCAATAGCACTAGCTGCCTTTTTTCTGCCTTTTCTGCGGTTGTTGTCGTCATCATCCTTGGAATCGTCATCATCAACAACTGCAAACAACATTCGCCTGTCAGCGGCAACATCATAAATTGTTGTTTAGCCACATGTTGCTGGCTGCGACTGCGATTCCGACTGAGAATGAGGTGGAGACTGGGACTTCGACTTGGACTCCGTCTCCTTCTCCGGCTTTTGACTTCTTGCAGGCTCCTCAAATACTCTCCCTCCTGCCAGGCTCTCTTTTCCATTCGGATCTGTCGCTTTGCAGGCGCGGCTCTTGTTCTACACACTTCCTAAGTGGATACTATTGGCTCGGCTCTCATTCAAATCCTAGAGATATAAGGAATACTCTAGATATAAGACCCATAGGATCCATAGAAACCTATAGTTCTTCAAGAATAAATGTTCCAAATTCCAATATTCTAAGTATTTGGGCATTGAAACCTATAATTCATCAGGAATAATTTTTAGAAAGTGACCTCCATAATCCATAGGAAAAAGAACTTTAATTTCATCAGAATTGTATATTTCCATTAAATATTCATAAAAATTCTGAACAAAAATAACAAACATTTTTACAGTTTACAATATAAACCTTATATCTATCCCAAAAACTAACAATGTTATATGAGCTTTGATAACCTGGTTAAGTGGAATCGTAAGCCCATTAAAAAATTTTATAACTGGAACTCTAAAAAAAATTTAAAATTATTATCACAATATTAACTTGTTTATCAAAAACCGAAAATCACATTTTAAGTGTTAATAAAATATGGTCATAAATACATTTTAATGGCTTAATTTCTAGCAGACTTGGGAATGCCAATACCTATTAAATTTATTTAAATACCTATTTTTATCTGAAAAGTAAACAAATTAATGTCGCTGATTATTTCTTTTGTTGAAATTTCACTTTAAGCTTTCTAAATTTCCTATAGGGTATGCGAATTTTCACTCACCAATTTCCAAGCCGCCTTTCCTTGCCCCCTTTGTTGCTGCTTTTGCTGCTTGTTGATTTCCTGCGTCCGATAGTAAGTTTTATTTATTTGCGCATTTGCCTGCGATTCTGCTCCTGTCCACCTCTAAAATCCCGGTGTATATAGTAATCCTTTGCTATGGCCAATGGCCAGGCAAATCTAGTCGATGGAACTGCTGGAATTCCTTCGCTGATCTCGACCTGTCAACGGGCTCATCATCAAATCATAATTTGAATGCGGAATGCCTTTCGATAGCCCAGATTCCACCCCCGCCCCACGATTTTTGTGGGAGAGGAGGGAGGTGGGTTCCGGGGG